TTCCCCCCCCCCCCCCCCCCCCCCCCCCATCAATTTATGACAAAGTAACTATGGGGTAAAAGAATTGATCACATCATTTTGTAAAGTGACCGTATTCAATAGTGTTAAGAAAGCGTCGGCAGTGAGTCCAAATGAAATCATTTAGCATCTTAAAGTAACTTTATTAAAGAGACTAGATGGGGGGCCAACTTACCCCGGGGTCAAACTAGCCCCGGTCTCCCCTAGTAAGTGTATAACATTATGCCACTGATATTACCTTCATTTCAGGGTCAGCTCTATCTTCCAAGGGTCCGCTATTGCGAGGATCCCCTATTTTGAAAACTTGAGGAGTCTTGATCTGAAATCGACCGCTATTCCAAAAGTCCACTATTCGGAAAGTTTGAGGGCATGTTCTGAAGCTCCACTATTCTAAAAAATTATTGTTGCGCTAGCTGCGCTTAAACGAGTTGTATTAGTTGTGTAATCGGGGCACTGAACTCTAGCTGTGTTTAAGAAACGCATTTAACCATCAATCCTTTAAGTTTTCGAACCCCAGTGCTCACACTGGTGTCTTTTGTATATGGATTTCATGCTCCGTTATCTCGCTTTCATATTTATTGGAAGCATCGTTATTCAAGTCGATGTCTATGTAGGAATCTGCTTTTAAAAATAATTTTAACAAAACATTTGTTACAACAACACATTTATAACGGCAACACATTTATATTGTATGTAAATTTAGAAACCCCTACCATAGCCCATAGTCAGTTTCTATGCATTTCTATTCATTTGCATTTAGTGTGCTCTAGTATGCGTACGTACGCTCTTGCGCTATTTTCAATCTGCACTCCGAGAATTTGCTATCTTTGTGTTGTTCTGTTTGCGCTCTATCTGTACCTTCGTACATGTAATAGCGGACCTTCATAATAGCGGACCTTCGGAATAGCGGACCCCTTCATTTGACACTCTGGTCAGAAAACATAAAATGTCCATTTATTTATATAAATTTGTTTTAGACAATAGCAGTTTCATAACCCAAGAAAGGCGGCTGTATAAAGACCTGATGAAAAACTACGTAAAATCCATCAGACCTGCCAGGAACGCAAGTGATAACGTTACGGTTCGGTTTGGACTGTCCATCCTCAACATAGCCGATGTGGTTTGTACATTCTCCACATTTTGTTATTTCTGCAAATGCAGCGCTTAAATGGTTTTGATATGTACCAGATGAAATGCAAAAAATGGCAAGAAATATGATGAAAATGATGTTACCAGAAATGCCATTGCAGCCACTCGTATTTGAGATGTTTTGCATGACTGTAGATAAATGAGAGCAAATATTGGATTTGATATCTAAGAATTGTGTGACACTGTGAAGTTTAGTATCTTTTCTGTACAACTGCGTAACCGTTATGTTTTATTAATAGCATCTTAAATTTCAAACCGGCTTCGTCATTGTTATTTTTCATGGATTTTAAACATATAATGTGATAGCCTGGCATTTCACGTTATGGCTAGGGAAAAGTCAGTAATTCGACTAAAATTCCATTTTCATATCAAATGCAAACTACTGCCATAAATTATGCTTTGTTGAAAATACCACTTTAGTGAAAGATTTTGCTCTTTTTAAGGATTTAAAGACGCATACACTTTCATTAAACGTTTGGGCTGATGAGGTAAGTGTAGGCCTATTTAATCTTTACTTTATCCTGACGTACATTATTGATGCAATATTCTTTATATGTTTCTTTCAATTTCAATGTCCAATTAATTGATTTCACAGAAAGTTTAAGTTCTTTTGAAAGCATTTAATGAATGACTTTACAAACCTGCTTATCTTTAACACAAGATCTCCAACTTTACATTCTTATAAATGTCAAGGTGTGGAACGAGCCTCAGCTCTCTTGGGATCCCAACCTTTATGGTGGAGTGAAATCTTTGCAAATACCAGCCGCCTCATTATGGAAACCGGACATAACACTGTATAACAAGTAGGTTTAACTTCTGTGTTTATACGTAACAGGATAATGTGAAGGACTTGATCGCAGAAATTAGTTTCCTCTAATTTGATACTATTATAAGCTGATTTCGAATGCCACTGAAAATGTGTTTTGGGTGAAGATAATTGGTCATAAAGTGTGGTGGTATAGTGGCTTGTACATTAAGTGTCATTACTGTAATTTGCAACAAGCAAATCTGCACATTTTGAAAGATATTCAAGCGCCTACTGAAAGTATGATATTCGCCTACATTATTCATATCTTGTGGTTGAGAACCAAGACATAAAACTATTTGAGAAAGGGGAGGCTACAGGAAAAAATTGAAGTATAGACTTTTCCTTTCCCCACGATGCAAATAAATGTAATCTATTGCCTTTTTCAAATATAGATATANGAGCCCGGGGTTAGTTGGACCCCGGGGTAAGTTGCCCCTCCCCACCCCCCCCCCCCCCCCATCAATTTATGACAAAGTAACTATGGGGTAAAAGAATTGATCACATCATTTTGTAAAGTGACCGTATTCAATAGTGTTAAGAAAGCGTCGGCAGTGAGTCCAAATGAAATAATTTAGCATCTTAAAGTAACTTTATTAAAGAGACTAGATGGGGGGCCAACTTACCCCGGTGTCAAACTAGCCCCGGTCTCCCCTAGTAAGTGTATAACATTATGCCACTGATATTACCTTTATTTCAGGGTCAGCTCTATCTTCCAAGGGTCCGCTATTGCGAGGATCCCCTATTTTGAAAACTTGAGGAGTCTTGATCTGAAATCGACCGCTATTCCGAAAGTCCACTATTCGGAAAAAGTTTGAGGGCATGTTCCGAAGCTCCACTTTTCTAAAAAATTATTGTTGCGCTAGCTGCGCTTAAACGAGTTGTATTAGTTGTGTAATCGGGGCACTGAACTCTGTGTTTAAGAAGCGAATTTAACCATCAATCCTTTAAGTTTTCGAACCCCAGTGCTCACACTGGTGTCTTTTGTATATGGATTTCATGCTCCTTATCTCGCTTTCATATTTATTGGAAGCATCGTTATTCAAGTCGATGTCTATGTAGGAATCTGCTTTTAAAAATAATTTTAACAAAACATTTGTTACAACAACACATTTATAACGGCAACACATTTATATTGTATGTAAATTTAGAAATCCCTACCATAGCCCATAGTCAGTTTCTATGCATTTCTATTCATTTGCATTTAGTGTGCTCTAGTATGCGTACGCGTGCGCTATTTTCAATTTGCTATCTTTGTGTTGTTCCGTTTGCGCTCTATCTGTACCTTCGTACATGTAATAGCGGACCTTCATAATAGCGGACCTGCGGAATAGCGGACCCCTTCATTTGACACTCTGGTCAGAAAACATAAAATGTCCATTTATTTGTATACATTTGTTTTAGACAATAGCAGTTTCATAACTCAAGAAAGGCGGCTGTATAAAGACCTGATGAAAAACTACGTAAAATCCATCAGACCTGCCAGGAACGCAAGTGATAACGTTACGGTTCGGTTTGGACTGTCCATCCTCAACATAGCCGATGTGGTTTGTACATTCTCCACATTTCGTTATTTCTGCAAATGCAGCGCTTAAATGGTTTTGATATGTGCTAGATGAAATGCAAAAAATTGCAAGAAATATGATGAAAATGATGTTACCGGAAATCCCATTGCAGCCGCTCGTATTTGAGATGTTTTGCATGACTGTGGATAAATGAGAGCAAATATGGATTTGATATCTAAGAATTGTGTGACACTGTGAAGTTTAGTATCTTTTCTGTACAACTGCGTAACCGTTATGTTTTATTAATAGCATCTTAAATTTCAAACCGGCTTCGTCATTGTTATTTTTCATGGATTTTAAACGTATAATGAAATAGCCTGGCATTACACGTTATGGCTAGTTAAAAGTCAGTTATTCGACTAAAATTCCATTTTCATATCAAATGCAAACTACTGCCATAAATTATGCTTTGTTGAAAATACCACTTTAGTGAAAGATTTTGCTCTTTTTAAGGATTTAAAGACGCATACACTTTCATTAAACGTTTGGGCTGATGAGGTAAGTGTAGGCCTATTTAATCTTTACTTTATCCTGACGTACATTATTGATGCAATATTCTTTATATGTTTCTTTCAATTTCAATGTCCAATTAATTGATTTCACAGAAGGTTTAAGTTCTTTTGAAAGCATTTAATGAATGACTTTACAAACCTGCTTATCTTTAACACACGATCTCCAACTTTACATTCTTATAAATGTCAAGGTATGGAACGAGCCTCAGCTCTCTTGGGATCCCAACCTTTATGGTGGAGTGAAATCTTTGCAAATACCAGCCGCTGCATTATGGAAGCCGGACATAACACTGTATAACAAGTAGGTTTAACTTCTGTGTTTATACGTAACAGGATAATGTGAAGGACTTGATCGCAGAAATTAGTTTCCTCTAATTTGATACTATTATAGGCTGATTTCGAATGCCACTGAAAATGTGTTTTGGGTGAAGATATGGTCATAAAGTGTGGTGGTATAGTGGCTTGTACATTAAGTGTCATTACTGTAATTTGCAACAAGCAAATCTGCACATTTTGAAAGATATTCAAGCGCCTACTGAAAGTATAATATTCGCCTACATTATTCATATCTTGTGGTTGAGAAACAAGACATAAAACTATTTGAGAAAGGGGATCAGGCTACATAAAAAAATTGAAGTATAGACTTTTCCTTTCCCCACGATGCAAATAAATGTAATCTATTGCCTTTTTCAAATATAGATAGGCCTATATAGGCAACCGATACAGACATCTCTGAGAAAATTAATTTGAGAACTAGTAAGAGGTCGGAGGTTTGACGGCCTTGATTATTATATTGCAGTTTCGGGGATACATACACTCAAGAAGCAAATGCGGTCGTCCTGAATACTGGAGTTGTGTACTACGTTCCTTATATGCGCCTTAAATCCTACTGCTCATATGACCTGACCAGGTTTCCATACGACACGCAAGAGTGCACGCTGCTGTTCGGATCTTGGGTTTACGATGAATCAATGGTACAGTGTTGGTGGGCGTATTATCTTACTTCACACACACACACGCACACACACACACACACACACACAAACAAAAATGACACCTATTAAAAGAGTTAAAAAAAAGGGAAGCTTATATCGACTCATTATGAGCTTACATAACCGTTAATTGCTTGTTTAATTTGTTTATTTATGGCAGCTTGACATCCAACTGAATGGGAACAGTTCTGAAAACTACGTGAGCCTTGCCTCATTTCGAGAACACCATGAATGGAATGTAACCATGGCAAGCGGCCGACGTGACGTCATCAAGTATCCATGCTGTGCACATGGGTTCGCCCATTTGACATTCACATTGACTATGAAACGTTTAACTACGTACTATACATACGTGTATGTTACACCATGTATGTTATTGAACCTTCTCCTGCCATTGATGTTTCTATTACCCCCAGAAACCAGACAGAAAACAACTTTAGGTAATATACATGTATAAATTAAACCGTGTTGTACAGTGGACAAACGGTATTGGCTGATGCTCTGCTTGTAGACTGTAGTATCATGAAATAGTGAGTAAAAAACTGACTTGCTTAATGTCTTTTGTTGAATCTAACTTTACTGTGAACGTTTGAAAATAATAGTAAATAATTTAGCAGTGACTTTCTTAGAGATTCATCAGTCGTTTTGTTGTACATGTACATAATACGGCAAAAAAATTAACCTATTGTTCTTTTTTAGGTATCGGCATTTTCATAGGATATTCAATCTTGTTGCTAATGCTGGAGATGACACTTCCATCGGCCTTTTCGTATGTACCATTGATAGGTAAAGATTCAAACACGTTATGACGTGTTATATATATATGTTTTAAAATCAAAGCCTGGAAGTAAAAAAAATCGAATTTTCCTACATCGATTGGGTATTATAATCTTTTAAGCTATCATTTCTTACTTCCAAGTTCCATACACTGACAATATCGTATTTCTAATATGTGTTGATTTCTCATTTTATTTTGTAGCTATGGTCTACGTCACTGGCATGATTTTAGTAACGATATCATTGGGGATTGGTGTTCTGACGACATGTTGCTGGGAATATGCACCTAGGGCAAAGAGAGAAATGCCCCCTCTTTTAAAAACGGCTAGTACACATTTATGTTGATTTTAGGTCAATTTTGTTTTCTGATATCTTGGTTAAGCTTTAGTTTTGCACATATAGAAAAACATTTTCCTTATATAACTTTGCACATATATGTCTGTTTTTATATAGAGACACAGATGTGTCTGTACATATATATAGCCGTCACCTGCGTCTACACCTGCGCCGTGCACTTTCAGAGATAACAGATAGGTGGAAAACCGTTTTACCTTTTGTCATCAAACTTACCGTACTGATGAAGATTCATAATATATAGATCGAGTTTGGAAATCAGCTTTATCGGACCATCTTTTTCAAAAGTTATCCCTTTTCCCCTTTCATGTCAGCATATATGCAATACAGATAACACATTTCTAAGTGAAAGCCAGTTGTCTTCAAACTTACAAGAGCGATCAGTATTTCTAAAATACAGGACGAGTTCGAAAAACAAACTGATCGAATTGTTTTCCTTGAAGTTACGCATTTTTTGTAAAATGTTCACTTTTCACATATTGGCATTTTCATGGTGTAACATTGAAATTCCGTGGTCTTGAAGACCACTGCTAGTCACTATTTCTGAATATCTTTGATACTTATGTTATATTATTAAAATTGGTGTTGATAATGCTGTTAAGCATAATTTTATGATGTAATATTTTGGGCACTGTTGCCATAATAACCATTGAAAAAGAACCATGATATTTAAGATTATGAAATTTACAGAAATGATTCCTAGAACTACAAGGTAAAATACATATCTAATTTCTACCAGGAAAGTCCATTTATTTGGCTGAAAAGGTCAGTTTTTATCCCTGTAAGCATATTGTATTAATGCATGAAAATTAACAAAATCACCTATTTAGTGCGTCCTTATTGGCTGCTTTTTGACAGCTTTACTGCCTTGTTATATGATTCAGTTACATGAAAAAAAAAATGAAATTTCATATTTATTTCACAGGTCTTTCTGGGTTGGCTTGCGCGAGTTTTGTGCGTCAATAGAGATTCATACACCCCTCACCAACCAGATGTCTCCACCATACAGCAAATGTCGCAACTCCAGATGCACGATCCGGTACAGGAACTGGAAAATGGTGCCTTTGACGTCAATGATAGATACAATGTATTGACAGTGCCTCGAGTTCATGACGTAATTAGTGCTGATTGGAGGGCACTAGCAGTGACCGTAGATCGCTTACTTTTTGTGGTGTTCTTGGTCGTGAATTTGGTTCTTACAATAGTGCTCTAGTGAAATCTTTATTGATACACGGAAAAAATTGTTATGACTGAGCGTGGCGTCACCCCCATGGCTTCGTAAGCATTTGTCGTAAAAATTTAGCGGAAAAGGACTCTCCATGTTGACGAGTCGGATGGGAAACGGTACGAAAACAAGCGAGGTCAAAAGCTCACTGAATGCCAACCTTCTACCAGGGCCACAGGTTGATTTTTTCACTCGATATTCACAGATATGTCTCTGCCTAATTCTTTACATTTTTATCTACTGAGTATTTTTATCTGTACATTTCACAGCTTATTGTAGTAGGCCTATATGTGTGTGTGTGTGTGTGTGTGTGTGTGTGTGTGTGTGTGTGTAGAGCACTAAATCTGAATGTCTTGGATAAAGCATTGAACATAATTAACATAATTGACTAAATAGGCCATGAAATTTTTGAAAGACCAATGAAAATATGAAAACCATGAAATTTAACTCAATGCATTTCAAAGAAATAGATTAGCTTAAAATAATGAATACGATTGCACATATACACGTAGGCTACGAGACACATCTAAGAAAGAGGATAAGTAGAAGTACTTATTTAATATGTATACAAGGATTGTTTTACATACATTTGGCCTATTTTGCATCCGCAATATTCCCTGTTGTTGAATATTGATATGCTTGCCAAACCGTACTAGATTCTCATGTAGAATACATTTAAAGCTCAATAAAGGTGCGGTGATTACGTAAGTGTTTTCTTTTGTTGGTTAATAAAAATGAAACAACGCAACAATTTTCGGCGAGGCATTCAGCATTTTCAGTAGATATGAAAATATCATTCCTGTCAGATTGGAGAAGAGCATAAAGTCTGCGCGTTTGCCAAACAAATTGGACGACGTGGCTAATTTAAAATAAAAACACATCATAAATGGGTTCAACTTAAATTACTGAAGAAAGTGTGTACATAGATGTATTTTAATAACATAAATCGCCCCCTACTAACGGTTGCCAGTTTTTGTCCCCACAGCACTTGAAATGTTAAATCCTGTCAACCAATTTTTGGGTGACACTGGTAAGAAATACTCATATGATTTACTTAAGATAATAAAAGAATAGTCAGCTTGGACAAAAGCCCTTGGAATTTAATAAAAGTATAGATTCATATTTTAATACCATAATTGACGTAAAGGTAAAATATTTACCAGGTTCGATATTGATTGATCTTAATTGGTCGACTGTACCTTTTTGACTTCATAAGTCTAGTATCTATTGATTTAAAGTACGCCATTTTCTTCAACATCCTGTTTTTTTCTTATTTCTGTTTTGATATTTTAAATTTGAAGTATTACACTCTTATTGTGGCATCTACTTATCACAAATAACTGCTTTGAAAAAAGTCTAAACCATGGCTAGGGCTTTTCAGCTTAAGTGCAAAACCTGTCTTTTCAAAAATAGTGTGCACCCACAACCATCTGGTTCCACTATAGAAAATACAGGAAAAACAATAGGAAATATTTTCCCGCGCGTTCCAATACGACCCAACATTATTTAGAGAAGCGGTAAAAATGCCATCTCGATGACCTAGTTAAAGCGTGCAGATTACAAGATTACGAAGTGAGGGCACTGTGGGTAGAACATGGCTAAAGTTGCATGTTTTATAGTGCTTGAATTCGTCCTATTGTGCTTTGTGGCTGATGTTATCCTAGCGCAAGGAAGACCATGGAAGAGAGGACGTGGTTTTATGGGTACGGTTATTTATCCTTTTATATACTTCGTAGAAGGACTGAAGTTAAGGTCGACAGGACCTTGCAAGTCAGTCAGGTCGGTAGCAATGGAGTAGTGGCAAAACCAGAGCAATGAGTTATATTGAAAACATGTTTTAATCTTTCGAGTCGAGGGTTAGAAAGTCAAACATTCAAATGTCTGCAAACCCTATCTCTGTGATTCGTAAACAAGATACGTATATGCACACCTTAAATAGACGACGTTTCAGAGAAAGCTTTTCAATATGTAACTTTTTCTGTTGATTCTGGAAACGCCCCCAGACGCGCATGTGAACTTTGAACTGTTTCAATAATGTTTCTTGCCACTTGTTTAAAAGCATTATCCTGGCAGTAGGTTTGCAGTGAAGAATGGTATATCTTGTAGGGCTGCTTGTTTTTGACACTGATCTGACGCTTTAAAAAAAAAAAAATTCGTATGATTCCGATGATTAGATTGTTGCGAAAGATAAAGCTGGTTAAAGTGAAATAAAATCTTTACCCGTTAAAGAAAGGTGTAGCCTTTTAATCTTTTGATAAAAAATCAGTGTCGCCACACAGTGTTTTAATTATCCTCTGAGTTTCTCTTTAGGTAATAAATCACGTGAATTTGATAATGCTGAGTCCCAGCTACATCGAGATTTGTTGAAAGGATATTATCGTTATGCACGACCCGTTGAAAGCTTTAATGAATCAGTGACGGTAAACTTGGGTCTCCAGTTGACTAACTTAGGAAGTGTGGTAAGTATTCCCCTGTTTAGAGAACTCCGACATTGAATGTATTTCTTTGCCAGGTAATCCAACTGTTTTGAGAAGGCACTGATACAGATCGTATCCGTTAAAGAAAGTTTTCATCTTCCCTATTTAAAACCTTATTTCTATTTTTAATCACAGTAAATAAAATAATCCGGTGATAAACTGATACAGATCGTATCCGTTAAAGAAAGTTTTCATCTTCCCTATTTAAAACCTTATTTCTATTTTTAATCACAGTAAATAAAATAATCCGGATGCATAATTGTTTGATTTAAAATTGTCTGTTTGCGATTTCTCATGAAATAGATAACCTTTCCTTATAACATTTTCCAGGACTTTCAGTGGCAGACTTTATCCGCAAATTTTTGGTTGATGCAGGTAAATGAAAAAGTTGAGATAACTCCATCGTCACTGTTTTACCAAAATGGCTGAAAGCCACTGTAACATCAATATTACGAGTTCTGGTATTTACCAGTTTATTCACTTATTGTCGTTAAAACATTAAATTTCAAATCGAATGCAGCCGTTTGGTGAAATATTTTCTGAAATTTAACGTACATGTACATGTATGTGCTCATTTGTAATTGCACATTTGGTCAGGCTGTTAACTGAACTATCTCTGAGTATCATAAATAAAAAATAGAGAAAGGTACTTGCAGCAACAACAGTTTTAAGGAATCGTTTTCTACACTTTTGATCGAAACTTTTTCATCTCTTTGTCTTCATACGGCGCCTCTCTTAGAATGTTCAGTTGGATGGATATGTTTGCTTTGTTGTCACAAGTGAAAGTGAAGATTGTTCTTTTTCATTGTGTTTAGAATTATCATATTAATTGTTGGTTTTAGGTTTGGCATGACTTCCGTTTGACGTGGGATCCAGCCGAATACGACGGTGTTAATACCATAAGAATGAATCCGTACAACATTTGGTATCCGGATATTACTCTTTATAACAAGTAAGAAATCTGTCTGATGGGAAAATATCACTAAGCAACTGCCCCCCCCCCCCCCATACACCCCCCCTACCTAAACATAGTTTTCAGAACCTGTCAAGGCATTTACTAAATACGGCTTTTGGAAAAGAAAATTATCTCCATCCTGTTAACATTTTACTTCACTATGGGATAAAGTCACGTTTGAATCATACTGTTCACTGTTGTTTATTGATAATCTTTCTTTACTTAATTTAGCAAGTCTTAAAATCACTCAATCGTCTGCGGGTTGTGTCGTTCCTTGGTTAGTTATGAAAAAAGCGTTGTGGCTTAAGTGTTACGCTACTTTCAAAGTCGTTCATAAGTTATGTGTGGGTGTGTCTCCGTGTGTGTGTGTGTGTGTGTGTGCGCGCGCGCGCGCGCGCGCGCGCGCGCGACACTCATTGAAAATTTATTGGTGACATATCCAGCTCATGCAATGACCAATAGAGATCCTAAATAGTGGAGTGGGTTAACTACCTAGGAGGTCAGGTCACTAGGATAATTGACTTCAAGTGACTACCTCTCGACTAATCGGTAAGCGTCAAAATTCGTGATCATGTAACGAAACCGTTTGTTATGTTGAAATGGCTAAAACCAAACCGAAACATATCATTTCAGTTATGGAAGCCAATACAAAGAAAGCTCTCTAGTGGCAGTGTTTCATGATGGCACATGCTTCTGGATCCCCCATGTCCGCTACATAGCTCTGTGCAATTACGACCTCAGCAAGTTTCCCTATGACACTCAGTATTGTTCTCTCCAATTTGGATCTTGGACTTACAATGGACACGAGGTACACTTGAAGTTAATTATATATATATATATACTTGTTAAATATGGCCTTTCAGAATAACTGATTTATCTTGGATCAAAATAGACATATTGGGTCATGACTACGTTAAGATAAATTTTGCGCTTCTTTTGTGAAGTTATCATTAAATGTACGTGTATCTGATCCACAATATCTCCCTTATCTAGTATGATATCAATCCAACTGCAGCCTCTCTTGTATTCAACTGACAATTTAAAACGTCTTGTAATTAATACTCACCAAAATCATCTTTTTTTCTGAAAAGTATTAATATTTACATTAATAGTAATACGTTTTATGTTTCGTTTTCTGCAGGTTAACTTGGTTCTCCAAAGTCAGTTAGACGTAAACCAGTCAAACTCTTTTTTCCTGCAGCAGTACCGCGGTCACTATGAATGGGACGTCAGCAAAGTTAACGAATCTGTCTCAGTTAAATATTATCCATGTTGTCCTGAACCTTTTCCTTCCATGGTGTACTGGATTCGTCTGAAACGGCTGTCAACTGCTCACACATATATATTTGTAACACCCTGTGTCCTGTTAACATTCCTCGTTCCTTTCATTTTCTTGCTTCCTCAAGAAAGTAAGCAGAAGATCCAACTAGGTATGTATGAAGTATGACAATTCATGTATTCATTAATCTGTTTTGAAAATTAGTTTTTGAATTTTGTCCATTTTAATTTATTGGTACTAGTGGTTGTGAATTAAGTACGGTTTTGAGATATATGATATTCAATGTTCAATGTTATATATGTTATCCAAATCTGATCAGATTGGCAATCCACTTAGTTGAAATAGCCATGCATTCGAATCTCGCCTAGGCACATTTAAACCCAGACACACAGGAGGGATTCTAATCAAAAACAAAAATTGTTTAACAGTAGGTTTTGAATTGTTCAACTGCTGCATTGTCTGATTTGGGTGAAAATGCAAAAAAAAAAATAGAATAAAAAAAATAATAAATAAATAAATAAATAAAAATAAAAAAATAAAAATAAAAAAACAGCATCACAGACCATATTCTTAGGCCTACTGTATTCCTATGCTCTGATATCAAAAATGAGTAAAGTTACAGCTGTTGAACAATCCAAAACTAACAATTTAAGGTTAACTGTATATAATACCCGTGGCATTTAAATGTTGACTTTGTCATACTTCTTATGAAGACACTTAATATTATTATTGTTACAAATTATTGTTACAGAAACGTTAAAAACCTAAGGAAAAGGAAGCAAGTTTTTTTTTTTGATAGATTAAAGTAACGTTCTTTTTATTTGTCGGTTACTGTCAGGGTCCTTGAAATCTTAGGTCTTTATTTCCCCAGGTATTGGAATCTTTGTATGTCTGACAGTGCTCCTGTTAATGTTACTGCAAACTTTGCCTGCGGCATTTGCAAAACCTCCGATCATAGGTAAGAATCTTGAATATTCTTATGTTATCTCAAAATAAAATAATACCGTGGTAAGATCGCATGCCAAAATACTTTATCTTAATAATAATGTGTTAAAAAATCATTTATTTAACAACACTTCGTCTTTATCTGGTTTACCATCACTGTTTACGTTTTACCGACCAATGACAAAGTTTAGAATACCCCCACACTTTCATCCTCCGTAAGCAGAGATTTTCTTGCTCGCCTTCTATTTAAAGGTAAGGCGTAGCCGTACAACTGTAACAAATTGCCCTTGGGGTCCAAATATGAATAGTGTATTGCGTTAGGTTCTTAACTAAAAATATACTTATTGCAAAATTCCAGCTGTTTTCATGGTGTCTTCCATGGTGTTGGTTGCGATCAGCATCATACTGTCTACTGTCACCTCTGGTATGTGGACAAACATTACGACAAAACGTGAAATGCACTCTGTCTTGAGACTGGTAAGATACGTTTAGTTATTCTCACCGAAACTTTTGTCCTAAAGGCGTGCTGCACATCATCATGGGTAGAACATTAGACCGGGGAATTATATCCGATATAATTCCCTGATTAGACTTAAGAGATTACAGTCGCGAGAGATGGTAATTGCCTTCGGACTGAAAGAATTATTAGAAGGAAAGCATGTCAAGTCATTATGGATACGTATTGCAAACGTGGCGCTATTAGATCTGCTACACTGTAAATAGCTGTTTTCATTTTGTTACTCTTCTTTATACTGATTTTCTCCTTTATTTTCTCATGATTAATTGCATTTCTATTAATTATATTTCTACATAAAACACCACCGATTTTCTTTCACGACAGATCTTCCTTGACATCCTGGGGAAAGCTTTATGTGTAGATCGCGGTGCTTACAACGTGGCTCACAGCGCCAAATCTAATGATGGTGATTATGGTAAAGACACCCAGACCATGGAGACCACGGACACAGCTGCGGTGTTGGCTGTCCCCAAGGTGACCGACGCAATAGCTGGGGAGTGGTATGCTTTCGTCGCCGTTCTCGACAGGCTTTTGTTCTTGATCTTCTTGGTCGTATCCATAATTGTTGCAATTGCGTTCAGCGTGTAGATTCTACATATTTAAAGCGAAATACAGCTTGTTTGGGCTAGGTGACAGTCTTAGCAAGGACTGGTTGACAACCACAAAACTGAACTTAAGGCGTTTTTTTGGGGGGATTGTTCTTCTTCTTATTATTATTATTTGTAGCGTGCACACGCAGTGTTGACAAAAATCAATAATCAAGAGCAAAGCAAGAATGTAAGCAAACCACTGCTGACTGCTTTCCTTTAGAAAACTTAAACCTTTAAGTTTAGGAAAATGCATTTGTGTGTTTTTCCTTACACCTTACCCATTTTATGCTACAGTATTTTGTGGTTGTGCCACTTTGTCAAAGCTGTTCTCCCAGGTCAATCTGTTGATATTAGCTAGAGTTCATGAAACTATATCTTAGCATGAAAAGTATCGATGTTGCTGTTATTATAGATGCTTTTTTTCAATATCTTTGACAAAGATAATCTGTAGCATTTTTATCAGTATCTTCTAACATCGAAGAAAATCATCAAAGAAGGTAACTGTTTACGTAGCATAACGTTTCCAGTTCCAGTTAATCTCGTTCGGCCATGAAATGCATCGGCAAAAAATTGGTTAATTCAAGCCATGTACTCATGCGTCTTTCAATATATATGTATCTACACTTGCAGGTTTACTTTGAATGACTTCACTAAAAATTTTTTGGAAAAAAAATGCCGAGATGTCCTGTTGCCAATGCCAATCCATGTTTTTACTTGGATATTCAGTTTCAGGCACTTGACTAAACAAATCTGTGAGAAAAGGTCCTGTATTCATACATGTTCATAATGTACAGCAAAATAAAAAGGGAGATTTCAATCAAACAAGTGGTTCTGATTAAACTTTTTAATTTCAAATGTTACTTTAGCTATTCTTACTTAACATCATGTACATTCTTGAACCTGTTCACGTCACTTGTATGCCATACTTTAATGGCAATGATGCAATAATAATAGCATGTACTTCTATATCTAGTCAAATAAAACATTACATGGTATGAACGTCATTCTGCTGTATACTGTGTCTTCATTTTAAAACATGAGTCTATATTTATGGGGTATAAACACAGTAACTCATACCAACAGCTTCTGAAGCAGTTCCCTGAAACGGATCAGTCTCTGTCTCAAATCTTTTTCTTATGCATTTTCCATTTCTTCATCTGATTCTTCAATAACCAGTTTTTGCTCTAATCTTGGTACTTTTTCTGAAAGAAGAAGAAAAAAAAAACTCCCTCAGGTGTACATACCACGTATTACAGAAAAGCCAACATTTGTTTTAAGAACAATTTTTTTACATATTAAAATCTTTATTGAAGAACATAAAATATGTTAGAAATTAGAAATTAAAACTAAATCTTCTAAATATCTCAGGAGATACAGCCAAAATATCAAACTTCTGAATATTCAACTTACTGCCAACAGCTGGAGATTTGATAAGGTGAATATTCTTCTCTACTTCCTTCACATCCTCTGCTTTTCTTAATTCCTTCCCTTTCTTTAATCTGAAATGTGACACGTAGTGTATAAATCTATGCTTCAAAACCTTCCAAACAAACGATGTTGTAAACAGTATTGACAACTATGGTAACAATTATGCATAACAAATAAGAATGTTCACAAAAGTGTAGTGCTTACCTGTTTAGTATAAACTGATTCTGTCGTTTAGTCTTAATTTCTTCTATTCTTTTCATTGCTTTGACTGAAATAAAAAAAATTTATAGCAAATTATTTCATCATTTTTCCCTTGAAAATTATGTCTCTTCCCCTGTAAACTATGTCAAAAACTTTATTTATTTTATGATTATTTTTTTTTAAGTATCTGTTACACTTGTTACAAGGCGAATGAAAATTCAAGCATATAAGTGCTGTTTAACATGAAAATTGTCCAGTGTTAAAGGTTTACATGCTTCTGACTTTTTAAAATCTTATAAGTAACCTAAAAACACCTAACAATACAAGAGCTGAGGCCACTGATTTTAGTTGTACTTAATCTATTTAAACTATAGAGAGCACCTGCCCAATTACAACATTTTCAGGCAAAAAAAAAAAAAAAAATGCAAACTGCTCACTAGGGTGAAGCTAAGTAAAGGGCAAGTAGTTTTAGAATGTTATCTGATGGGTATTTCTGAATTTAAAACTTTACCTGATGGAGTTAAGTCTGCCGTGCCCCCCCTTCCCCTCTATCACCTTATATCAGCCAAAAGCTGGTGGTTATATCAAACTTACATAAACACAATAACCAATTATTTTTTGTAATTCAGATAATGTTGGAATGAGAAAAAAAAAGGTTACATTAACTGAACATTTCATTTTTATTTTTCATTTTTTATTTCTATTGTCCCAAATACCAAGTAATCAATTCACTATAATACATCAAACAATAGCATACCCTTAACAATCCTTTAACATGTGTATCTTCTAGATGAAATATAAATTACTTTACATGAGCAAGCAACCCTATATAAAATGATTTTTAAAACAGAAAAATTATTCACGCTGTACCAATTGCGACTTTCCCAATCCAAAATCAAATCCTACATAAAGGTTACAGCAAACCTGTGTTTGTCCACAATTCCCTGTCATATTTAATGGGGACATGTCTTCTTTTTTCAAATTCAAATGATGGGTCCACTGCAAGGTCTTTTCCAGCTGCTTTACGAAATGCTTTGGTCCATCGAGTCTTCCTAGGATTTCTCTTCTTTTTAAAAGCCTTATGACATTTGGATCTGCAAAATCTGAAAATCTGAGCAAAGTAATTGTTGGTTAGAAAGGGGTACTAGTAATTATCTATCTTGCCCAATCGGCTCATAGAAACTCTTTGCCTGGGTTACCATCCCTATATCAATCTTACAGGAGGGCCATTCCGTGGTATTTGGTCCGCAGACCTCAAAATTTAAAAAAAGAATCCTACTTATAAAACTTAAAATTTCTGAAACCAGATACCATAAGACCCCAGAATCCAAAAGAAATTCTAGGTTTTGATGATTAATTATTATTTTATTGACACTTTTATCTGGAAAATTTATAAAATAGTGTTACGGAAGGACATTTTTATTTTTGATATATTTTTCTTAATAGTGATCATTTTAAACAATAAAGACTGAATAAAGACTGGGGTCTTATGGTGTCTGGTTTCAGAAATTATAAGTTTTATAAGTAGGAGCCTTTTTTAAATTTTGAGGTCTACGGAATGGCCCATAGAACGATATTTATATTAGGAATGAGCCCATACGTGAAACGGTCTGACTGAAGTGTAGATGTTGGAATGTGTGGTGTGGTTTGTGTGTTTCTAAAGGCCTTTTAACATTTTTTGATGATATGTAATTTGTAAGTATTTTACCTTGCAATCATTCCGTACAAACTGGATCCCATGTCCAGGATATACTGTAGACGAACAAAAGTAACATTTTTCCAGTCGCATCGTGCGTGTTCTTTCACAACCGGAAGTATAGCAAATTACCCACAATGCCTTAGCCACACTTGGACAGGGCTTGTCATGGGGGAATGTCTCTTGAGAAATCTCCGATTTCTTTTAGCTGCTTACAATTATAATGTGCTAAGGGTGAAGTAAGACAAGTTATGTTTGTGGATTGAATAAGGTAAATCAGACTGTATCCCACACTCTGCTGTGCCAGAAGGGGAGCATGCGTTGTACCATGCCACTGCCAATCTTATCTTGTGGGGAATTCCCACCGATGTAATAAACAAAACAGTCGCCCCGTCAGCTTTGTCATCACAGGGTCGTGTATACCTGAACAAAGATAGGCAAAAAAAGTCCCTGAAACTCTTCATATTTGAGTTAACGTAGAACGGGAACTCTTTCTATTCCAGGTGGGTATTTTTAAAATGGTTATTTTATTTCTGCCAATAATATGAGAAAAGCGCAATGCGTAATCATAATACTTTCATTTTCAAGTGCAACAATTATATGAATTTCGTTGATTTCAATATATGAAACAGTATAGCCATAGTTAAGTTCCGCTTTTATTAAGTTAAGAAATGTGTTAAAACGACTCATCTAACCCAAGAGTTTTGTAAGGATTAAGAAAAGTGGTTCCGTGATGTACATGTACTGTGCATGTACTTAATTGTGTCCTGTTATGATATGTACTGTAGGTTGCCAAAAATAGGTCACTTCTTTGATATGTATTCAAATGATGATTGCCAAATAAAATGAAACTATGTTCAAAATCATTATCAGAATAGGCACAACAAAATAATTACTGGGCTACCCATGTACTACACTGTACGTACCGGTGTGGCGTGATAGACCCGTGCCGTGACGAAACCGTTCTGCATATGCGCATTGAGGGTAGATTGAAAGAAGTGACTTCCGGTATGACGATGTCGTCCTAAGTAGGCGCTATGTTTGCACTGAACTATGATTTTCCAATTCATAATTCAGTGGTTTTCGTCATGAGAGAGTATGTATTTGATAATCTTATTACTACAGTATACGGGGGAATGTTGGAAGTGAGCTTTTGATCGTGACTGAACTGTTTTGCTCTGTGTAAAAAACGTGGCAGATCTACGACTCGTAGTAAAAATCTTTTCACTCTACAATGTTCTTTCAATTCAGAATTCAGTCATTTTCATTAAAAAGAAATTGTGTGTTTGATAATACTACAACTTTCTCTACGGGGAAATGTTGGAAATGCATGTGCAGCTACGTACTGTAAGTCAACAGACTGCTACCCCCGCGTGAATAATCTGCCAGAACGGTTTATTCTCGACGACGGTTTCTTCACGTGACACCGGTACATGTACCAGCTACCAGTAGTAGTTAGTACTAGTACATGTATGAAGTTCAAAATACAAAATTGAAAGATAAACTGTAAGTATACAATGGAACCAGCTTGTGCACAGCAACATATTAAGCAAGTGTAGCATTAAGATCATTTTCATGCCACATCTTTGTTGGTTATTTCTAAATCTGTTTATATTATCTAAATATGTTTTGAAATAAAACTTCATGTAATACATGCAACTCAAAAATTGCTGTTTTTTCATTCTTGTTAATCACCAGATATGTGTCTATTTTACCAGGTGTGCTGATTTTGGCATGACACATACATGACTATAATCTTGGTTTCTGTTTCATTGTAGAATGGCAAGTGTCTGTGTTGGGTCTGCTTTCATTCCATATTATAATCAGCTGATGCAGATTTTGGAAACCAATGAAGATATGAAGAAAACAGCAAAGGGTATTTTTTCTTTGTAGCAAGTAATAAAAGAAAAAATAGTAACAATGCCGAAGTTAAGAATTCAACTAGCATTGTATACAATTCAAATAACTATAACTTGCATCTATTCACTGAATACATCTGTTAACCTGATTCGAGTCTTTATTATGCATATTGATTCACCCAGTAGGTATTTACTGCAATCAGTATTTAGCATGCCTAGACTTTAATAAATTTAATACAGGGAAAATTTTGTGCAGGGGCATTGATCAACTTTTAAGACCAATAATTTATAATAACCATACTTCTATATATTCATTTCAAACTTCAAGGTATATTCAAACAGATGGCTACAGCTGCAGGTGGAGCTGCAGTGGGGGGTATTGTTGGAGGTCCAGCTGGTGCCCTTGTTGGGACATGTGTAGGTAAGAACATGTCTTTTTTTTTTACAGGACTTGTAAATTTGAACACCAAGTTTGCTTTGTCATAATGTATGATTTATTGCAAAGTTGTTGAAATTTATGCTGTTACAAATTTGGCAGTTACATGTATTACAAACTGTTTTGAAACAAACTCTTAGATAATAAAAACACACACACACCTGTGAGAACAGCAACAAAAGAAACAATAGGGTAAAAAAGGCAAAGTCATTTTCAACTCTCACATTGCACACATTTTAGGAGCAGTTGCTGGCTACATGATGTCCGATGAATACAGTTCTATGATTAAAGTTTTGAAGAACATGACAGATGAGGAGAAGAAGAAGATTGTTGCTAAAGTTCAAGAGCTTGTAGGAAGTGAACTGATTGGAGAATTAATGAGATTTGTGTCAGGGCAGGTTCAACGTGAAATGTTACTCCAAACGCTGAGGGATTGTGTGTCTGATGTCAAGGGAGCATGACGATGGTTTCCATGTCTGAGTTTTTTGTGTTTTTTTTTTTTTTTGGAATTGTTCAAATAATATTGATTCATAAGGGAGCCCAGGGTTTGATTTACCGTTTAACATATCTAATGAAATTAATTAATCTGCAAAAAAATATAATAAATAAATAAAAAGGGATATGTGCATTATCATCTAAGATATTATTTTTAAGCTTCAGTGTTTTGGAAAAGGGAAAAGGTTCATATTTATCTTGATAATTTAATATAGAATCTTGCAGAATATTAACCACTAATAATTTTTTTTATTATTTGAGATTTGAGTATTCCTTTGAAATATACACCTTCTGTATATCAGAGACAAAAATGCTTGTTCACTAATTTGCAGGTAGTGAATTTGTAAAAAAAGATTTGGAGAAAGTTGACATACAACATCTTCAGTGAAGGTTCTGTAAATATAAATATATATATCAGGTAATCTCACGAGAATTGAAATTATCTTTAAAACAATTATAAAAACAAAGCAGGACAATATTATTATTATATTGATTATATATGAATATATATATATGTGTGTATTGAGCATTGGAAAAATAGTGTTTTGATTTGAAAATCTAAACAAGTACATTAATTGTTACTCTTTAGAGATGTATATTTATTACACAGAAGGAAATCACAGCTAGGTTAATAAGTGGAACTTATATATTTTCATTGTTACATCCAGGATACCTTTTTCTCCATAACAGAATATTTCTTATCCAATTAATCCTCTCTTTCAACAAAACTGTTTGATCTGAAAGTTGTACTAATGGTGTTCAAATTGTTAATCCATATGTGTGTTTGTGTGCATCTTTTGGATTTATAATGTTATTTTTATGATGCATCTCAAGGGTGATTCTCAATAAACTTTTTTCCAAAGCTTAGTAAACTTTTCATTTTCAGACAAATGAATCTTTAGGCAAAAAGTTTTTTAATGCTACCTTTTTCTGGGTTTTGTAATGTGCTTGGAATTTATAAATGCAAGTAAAAATAGTGTAAGTTCACTGTTGGTATTGAACTGCTGCTTTTTTGTTGCAATAATTAATCTGAGTTTAACACAATTGCAAGATTTTTTTCTAGCTACATATATCTTATGATAATAGTGATAATGATAATAAAAATTATATCATTTTTCCCATCCAATTAAGAGAGTATACCAGTACATAAAATACACTGACTCATAAATGTGAAACTTAATGCCAATTTTTCCAACTATAATTTAATTTTTAAAAACAAAGTAACATTATACATGAAATAAATGTGGATCAAAAATTGTTTAGTTTGAAAGGGAACGAATGGATAAATACTGTTTTAAACTACATTGTTTCTTCTAAAAAGTAAAATAATTTATGTCGTGATAAGAATTGTAGAAAATAATGGATGTGCAATGCTGTTTATAATTTAGTTTTGTTGCCATCCTTTCAAGTTGTCTACCAGTATCTTTTTAAGAATAAAAATTTGAATATCAATTAATAACTTACATCCAGAATTTATTAGTAGATGAAGAAATTTTAACATGTACAAGATGTTTAGCATGTGGAGCAAAAAAATTTGCTTGGTTTTGCTCATACTGTGCTTTTGAAGGGAGAATTAAGCAGGGGTACTGTACGACACACTGATCAGAGAAAATAAGGGAGCCGCCCCCCCCCCCCTCCCCTGCCATATTGCAGTTGGGGGTCATGTATCAGTATCCCCTGTGATACAGAATTGGTTCTCAGATTTGCACAGGTAAGCCTCATCCTACTGTAGATTTTAACCCAATTACCCTACATTAACCCAAAAGGAAGGTTCATCAATGTAATGGTGTGCAGAAGTAATAACATGAAGCCTTAAATTATTTATTCAGTCTGTGCCATAAACTTTTCTGCTTACTGGCCATTCAGACCACCAGTTTCCTAAAATCTACTGGTCTGAAGAAAAATTTCTTGAGGTAAATGATTCTCTTCTCTGACCGAGGAGGTACAAGATAGAATTCCATAGAATGCTCCAATTAACCAACCTCTGAACTGCCTCTCCTAACACTCTCCCAAAAATCATTTTTAAAAGCAGATGCAATGCGGAAACTAAAAAAAAAATTGATAAAAAAGTCAATTAATATACCACCCTATAAAAGTTTACAAATTTTCGCAACCGCCTTGGACCTTGCTGTTGTAAATCAGAGTTAAACGACAAGAGGTATTTCTTTAAACTGGTGGGCAAACATTTACGTATAATTACAAAAGAGAGGCATGTATCATTCTAACACTAAAACTTACACTAGTAACTGCATATTAAATATTTTCTACCAAGGATGGCTACTCTTGAACGCGTACGAATGATGTGCAACCGAAAATGTATGGAACACACAAGCTCTGAGGCTCTTACAAACTCTCCTTTTAATGCAGAACTTTTAATCTTCTCATATTACAGGACAAGACAGCCACTTGATATGGATAAAACAATTAAATGCTGATAAAAACACGTTGACCACTACAATAAACACGTCCATCACTTGCGATTTCGCGCCAGTGTGAATTTGTGGAGGGGATTAGTTTCCAATAAGTAAATGCTGAAAATCTCTTTAATTTTATCATTTGTCAAATGTAACTACTATTTATCCATAAATAATTTGTGTATATCAGAAATTGATTAATACCTTGGATCCAGTTATTTATCAAAACGTGATATTTGTTTTCGAAACATTCGTAATAAGAGTAGATGAGCTCCGTNCACACCGGATGAGGATAGGGATCCCATCATGCGTCGAAGGCTTCTTGGTGGCAAATAGAGTTCCTATGTCAATTTGTCTTTGTTGAAGTATATTCTATTTCAGACACAGATCTGTATAGGCTAATTCTGATCTAAGGTAAGTGTTAAATACTGAACTAATTACTTTATATGCACGAATCTTACAAAGTCAATAAAGCATTAAACGATCACAGTAATATTGCACAATAATCCCTATGAACCCTCATTCAGCTTCGAATCTGCCAAAATAAACAGAGACAGAGCATCGGTAGGTACTGTGAAATACTGGGGTTCATATGTAGCTTGCAGATGTATTTGTAGTGATTGCTGTCATACAACGATGCCCTGTCCCTGGGCCCAGTCGTTTTTCTCCCTGGGCCCAGTCGGTTTTCTCAACGTGTGTGCAGAACAAACTTAATTCTTCGGCCCTGGCTTCATTAGTTTTACGATAAATAGAGTCAAACAACAGAAAATGAATATGGACGTTGAATTAGTCTATATGATGCTAAATAAAACACATCGTTCAGACTATGCCGATACTCATCTCTACCTGAGTCTTATATTGTATCCAGAACTGTTCACTTACTAGTAAAAAAGTTTTGCTCTGCATATTGAAAAACTGAAGGTATAAACTGTCAATATGATAACTTGGACATGATATCCTTCCATATTCTGAGTATTAGCAATTTCAAAGCATAGATTCAGTCTGCCTATTCTGCTATTCAACCTCCCTCTTTTGTCAGGCTAACATGAAAATTCATGCATAAACACTCCTTTTTACATTTCTGAAATGTACTGTATGTGCTTAGTTTCTTACTCATCGTATGTACTATATGTGCTAATGCATAAAAGATGAAGGTGGGCACCATTTCCGCTGTTCAAGCCCTTGGCAGCAGTCTTCAACTAAGGTTGATTTCACAGCACCATAGCAGTGCTTTGGAAAAACTCAGTGGTATTTTAGCAATGTATATCTTCACTGTAACTTGAAGAAGTGAGAGGTAAGCAAAAGATATGAAAGCCCTTGACACATAGCTGAGTCGCTAGCTGGCTGTCATTATATATATATATATATATATATATATATCTTTCATCCATTAGCTCTTATAGTACATATCAGAAAATATATTACATTTTAGTAGTTGATTAGTTAGAATGGGACTAAAATATACATTTAATCAACATTTGCACAGCATCTGGATTCCTTTTAAAACATGATGATGATCTTTGTATTTTGCTCTCAGCTCCATTACACATACTGTAGTTATTATCCAAAAAAAAAAAGTTGCCTGTTGATGAAGATTTGAGATAATTTAGATTTAACTAACCACATTAAAGTACTAGTAAACCTAAAACATTTACCGTACAGACAAAGCTGTTTATCTGAAAAACATTTGTAACGATAAATACATAAAATTCTCAAAAATAGATGAACAGCATCTTAAATTGTAGAGTGTGATTCATGTGCCAGGTGATCATGTTTTAAATTATTAATTACAGACATGTCCCTGTCTCTGAATTTGACATAAAAAGAGATGATTATATGGTTGTTTTCTTTAAAGTATTATGGAATATTTATTGAGCGGCAGGAGTGATTTGTATGTAGGGTAAAGTTTTAATGTCAGCAGAAATGAATGCATTATGTGTACATGTGAGTTCATTGTAAATTCAAATAAAAATCATTTTACTGAAAATAAGATTACAAATAATTCAGATCTGCTGATGCAACTTTCTGGATTTGTAACAGACTTTTTCAGTAAATCATTTAATGAAAAGCATTCAAAAAGCATTTTCTTCATATGACTTGTATATATATTATTTATTTATGAAACAACTGATACTTTACTAAGTTAACATGGAGATGTTGTAATGGCTCTAATGCTCATGGATTCTGGTGCTGGCTAAAGGTGGCAGCACATGCTATAAAATTCATAAGGTATGCTCAGTCTCTCCTTATAAATATTATAGCACTTTGCATTAAAAAAAATCAAAAATCTTATATTTGCTATTTAAAAGGACCTTTCTGCCAATGGTTTAATTTTCTTTTTCATGATGATAACAGTATACAATAATTTTCAGCAACTTTCTCTTTCTTCTGTGCTATACTTTGCTTTCATTGAAAATGGTGCTCTTTTACCCACTGAAGAGAGCTCAGGGAATTCAGTCAAACTTTATTAAGAAAGAAAAAAAATAATTTTTTCTCCTTTGAATTTTAGATTCTTGCTGCTTCCTTCCCTGCTGCAGTCCACCACACCTGCAATCATCAGACTGGACAACTACTTCCCTGGGCCCAGGATGCCCTCACAAGTCATGCCAGGCCCACCGCCCATGGACCATGGGAACCCTGGCCTTGTGTAAGTGCACAGATTGTGTTTGAATATGGTCCACTTACAGAATAAATGTGTCCCTGATTGTTTTTTTTTTAATAATAATATTGGATCTCCTTCTGAACAGACTTAAATACTTGAGAATGGTCAGTAATCAATGACAGGAGATTGTATAAAAATAAAACCAGACAAGGTGTGAACATTTTGCTGGACTGGTATCTTGATTTAGTATTTGCCCAAAAATTGAGTGTTAAAATTGACAATCATCCCTGTATAAGTGAGGAAAAAGCAATGACATTTTGGAAAAATGCATTGTGTGTTACCCATCTATAATATTGTCTCTGTATTTTGTATCATAGTAAATATTAGCCAGTTGATGATCACACTTGTGTGACTAGAAAGAAATGCAAAAAAAGAAAAAAAAATGTATGTGTGGGTGTGTTGGGGGAGGCACATAACCTGTAAATATGGATTAAAATTTCATTATGATATCTCATATTTGGGTTATATCCTTTCTTCAAGATCTCCATAACCGTAACTCAATATCCCTTCAGATTCAGGATGCTCTCTGATAAGCAAGGCTTTTCTCTGAGAGCCTGCATTTGGACTGCCACTAGCCTCAAAAGACAGCTTATATTTACAATTTTTTGGGGAATTGATGGTTTGTTGGTTGGGCTAGCTTGGGTTGGACTCGCTATAAAACGATGACCAAATTACGGATTCACATTTTGGACACTTCTGTACCCCAAATAAGGCCAAATACTTTCAGCATAATTACAATCAATTTATTCATTATTGTAGACTGTAATAGAAGATGTTATATTCTGGAGTGA